ACTCACTTTGGAGACCAGGCTGGCCTCGAACTCACAGAGATCCGCCTGGCTCTGCCTCCCGAGTGCTGGGATTAAAGGCGTGCGCCACCACCGCCCGGCGCGCCACAGATTTTTAATCACCCTGTTTCCATCATGTCATTTGAGGGGTGGCTCTCAGAGGCCCCAGTCCATTGCTTGCTGTTGCTGTGAGCTTGTGAAAAGGTAAAACAGGGGTAGGAAAGTGGCGGAGACCATTTACTTCATGACAGCCAGGAAACAGGGCCAATGCCATCTTGTAACATCACCTGTATATTCCTAACTCCCAATTTTACATCTTCGGCTTTGCTCCTTATCTAAATCCAGACTGTTGTAGCTAACTGTGGTCCACTTTTTATCTCTGACAGGTTTACTTAAATTACCTGAAACTCAACTCCAAACTTGGCTTGTGTAGACCAATCATCAGGTTTTTAGTATTGACTTTCTCAGGGTAAAACTTCAGTCCATCCTTGAACGTCTTTCTTTCCTGCTCTGTATTCAGCAGGTCTGTTACGGTCTATCCCAGAACACAACCTAAATTCAGCATGTATCACCACTCTTGACAGTTAACACTGGCTGAGGCCGGTGCCTCTGTCTAGACTGGGTACCTAAGGAAGTCCTCTGAGATGTTATTTGGATTTCAGCTTAAATGTCAAGAGGGAGCTGATTTTATAAAGATTGAGAAAGCACAAGCATTTTGCTATCACCTTGCTTATGGAGTGAATAGTTATCTAGTGGGAAAAAAAATTCCATATCTCCTACCTTTTATTCTATAACTGTATCTATACACCTGTATCTATATTAAAGGTTCACAAACTTATTCTGAAAAGCACCAGAGTATAAGCACTAGACATTTTAAAAAAATTTTTAGTTGGGGCTGGAGAGATGGCTCCATGATTATGAGCACTGGCTGCTTTTCCAGAGGACCCAGATTTGATTTCCAGCACTCACATGGTGGCTCACAACTGACCGGAACTCCAGTTGTAGGTGATCAACGCTCTCTTCCAGCCTCCAAGAGCATAGCATGATGAACAAACATACATCAGGCCAAACACCCATACACATCTTTTTAATCTCAAATCTTTTATTTTATCTGTTGCACTGTGTGTGTCTATGTCAGCACACATGTGTATGGAGATCAGAGTATGATGTTTGTGAGTCCTTTCTACCTTCACCATGAGTTCCAGGGACTGAACTCAAGTTGTCAGACTTCTTTGGTTTTTTTTTTTTTTTTGGTTTTTTGAGACAGGGTTTCTCTGTGCAGCTTTGCGCCTTTTCCTGGAACTCATTTGGTAGTTCAGGCTGGCCTCGAACTCACAGAGATCCGCCTGGCTCTGCCTCCCGAGTGCTGGGATTAAAGGCATGCGCCACCACAACCCGGCTTTTTTTTTGTTTTTTGCTTTGGTTTTTTTTTTTAAGTTGTCAGACTTCTCGGCAAGCACTTTGTCGTGAGGAGCCATCCCACAAGTCTCCAGCTGTAACCTGCTAACTTCTGCTGACCTCAAAGGTCTCTGTTTGCACTAGTAAACATACCAACATGTCTGTGTTACAGTAACTGGTGGTGCACTGTGCTGCGGAGATGGCTTAGTGGTCAAGAGTCTGTGCTGCTCTTCCAGAGGACCCACCCGGGATTGGTTCCACAGCACCCATGATGTGGCTCATAGCTCTCCCTAACTACAGGATCCAACCTCCTCTTCACACCTTCTAGGGCACCAGACACACACACACACACACACACACACACACACACACACACACACACGGTATACATACAAACATGTATATATATATACATATATATGTATATATACATACATATATATATAAAAAACCAAAAAATTGGTTTGGGAGATTTGATCAATGGTATATCTTGTCTCTGAAATACAAAAATAAATTCCAGGGACTAGAGAGATGGCTTGGCCTATGAAGTGTTTGCCACATAAGCTTGCTTGACCTGAACTTGATCTTCAGGACCCACATTAAGTTGGGAGAAGAGAACTGACTCCACAAAGTTGTACTCAGTCTTATGTGCCCAGTGACACCTTGCCCACACAAAATAATAAAATATATGTTTAAAAAAATTTCCAAATGGAAAGGAGTACAACTGGTGAATAAAACAAAACTTGAAACGATTTAGAGGGAAAAGAAAAAACAAACATCTCTTGGGGTAGAGAATAGTATTTAAAGTTCTGTAGTTAAGGGCACATACTGCTGGGCATGGTGGTGGCACATGCCTTTCATCCCAGCGCTCAGGCAGAGGTAGGTAGATCTCTGAGTTCCAGGCTAGCCTGGTCTAGAGTGAGTTTCAGGACAGCCTGGACTACACAGAGAAATCCTTTCTTGGGGGGGGGGAGGAGAGGAGCACATACTCCTCTTGTAGCGGACCTGAGTTTGGATACTACCACAAGTGTCAAGTGGCTTGCAACTGACTGTAACTCTAGCTCCAGGGGATCTGACACTCTTCTGAACTCAGGGCACCTGTATTCCCATGTACACACACATACACTCACACACACTTGTAATTTAAAGAATTGAAAAAACAAATTTCTAGAAGGAAAAGGCTCCATCTCAAATGCAGTTTCTGAGTGTCTTGGAGTGGGCTGAAATTAGTTCACACATTTGCTCTCTTCTGTAGGTCCAGCAAATGACGGCAAGATCTTTATTGCCCTTGAAGGCTGAGGTCACTGTAATGAAAAAAGGACTCTCCTTTCTGCTTGTGTCTTCTGGGTTTCAGAGCCATGAGCTATTCAGCTGGTTGGAATATTCAGCACAGTGCCAAGTGGCCAGGTGTGATAGTTTATGTTCTGAGAGCTAGATCTCGGCTTCCCAGTGTGCAACTGTGCCTATCAATAACATTTCAAAAGGAGAAAGCCAGCCACAGTTAAAAATAGCAAGGATGAGAATAGGAAAAGCATGGCTACAGTAGGGCAATTGTTCTAACCACTTTGCATTTGTTATCTCAGCCAGGCGATATTCTTGCATATTTGCATAGGAAAATACCTACTTGAATAATTATCAATGTCAATATTTGTAAGTAAAAAATAAAAAACAAGTTTATTACTAGGAAAACATGTAAACAGAGATGTATTTATGAAGAAATCAAGTAGTTACAATAAATTCCCATCACCCATATTGGTGGCTCACAACCATCTGTAACTAGTTCTAGAAGATCAGATGCTCTCTTCTGGCCTGTTCAGGCATAGGCGCACACACAGTGCACATACACACACACACACACACACACACACACACACACACACACACAGGCAAAACACCCATACAAATAAAAAAAATCACTGCTAATTCCTTTGGAACATTTCTATGTCAAAGTAGAAATAAAAGGGCCATCGTGACCCTTTTTTTTTTTTTTTTTTTTTGAGACAGGGTTTCTCTCTGTAGACCAGACTGGCCTTGAACTCAGAGATCCTCTGTCTCCCAACTGCTCAGATTAAAGACTAGGAGAGACATCTTTAAGATATTCTCAAAGACAAATGAGAATCTTGTAACTCTATCCATTCCAGGGTATGTACACCAGAAGAGACAGACAAGCCATGCTCTATTACATCCCTGTAATCCTGTCCTCAGGAGACTGAGAAAGGACTGCTGTACGCTTAAGGCCAGTAATGCCACATATCAAGATACTAATTTGAACCCCCCCCCCTTAAAATAAAAGATGAAAGCCATGACAGAATTACTAACAGCACCTCTCAAAAGACTTAGATCCAAAAGTAAAACTTAATACAATATAGATAGAGAGGCAAAATAAAATGAGAAAACACTACGGTAATTCTTATCATTTCCCCCTGGTTTGTTTTTGCTATGTTCTTTGGGTTTTTTTTGTTTGTTTGTTTGTTTGTTTTTTGAGACAGGGTTTCTCTGTGCAGCTTTGCACCTTTCCTGGAACTCACTTTGTAGCCCAGGCTGGCCTCGAACTCACAGAGAGCCACCTGCCTCTGCCTCCCAAGTGCTGGTATTTAAAAAATTTAAATTTAAAAATGGTATTTAAAGTTCTGTAGTTAAAGGCACATACTACTTACTGCTGGGTGTGGTGGCACAAGCGTGTACCACCACCGCCTGGCTGTTGCTGTGTTTTACTTGTTCTATGTATATATACCATGTGCATGCCTAGTGCCCAAGGAGGCCAGAGGAGGGTGGGTGGGTACAGGATTCCCTGGACCTGGAGTTACAGATGGTTATAAGCTGCCATGTGGGTTCCTCTGTACAAGAACGACACATGCTCTGAAGGGCTGAGCTACCGCCAGCCCCCTTTCCTGCTTTCAGATTTACCATTTTAAATGAAATGTAGCATAGTCAACCTCTATCAAGGAAGGAAAATGAAGTGAGGAAGCTCTTTATAAGATGGTTTTCAGAAGACAGATGTGGTGATACATGCCAGCAATCCCAACACTACAGAGGCAGAATAACGGTACAAGTCTGAGGGCACCCTGATCACACCAGTAAATGCTAAGGCCAGGCTACAAGGCTAGACTGCCTCAACCCAACACTCCAAAAAAGCCTGTTTCTAGCTTCAGTTGCCACATCCAGTCTCCAAAACTCATCTGGAAGGATGTTTTTTTAAAAGCACGTTTATTTACTTTGTGGGTGTGGACATGCCACAGCACATGTATGGAGGTCAGAGAACAACTTATGGGAGTCACCCTTTCCCTCCACCATTGTGGGTCCTGGGGCACAAACTCAGATGGTCAGGCTTCACAGTAAGAGTCTTTACCTGCTGAGCCACCTGACTCTAGCTTCCCACGCAAATAATCAGATCACTCTTTATCGTCAGGTTATCCCTCTCCAAAAGTTTTAATCTATTCTTTCTGTATTTGGAATAAAACTCAATAATGTGTTTGCCCACTACTCTGTATGCCTCACTCACAGCAGCTGCGTGCCTTTCCTGAAGGGCACCAGCTCTCTATTCCTGGTACCTACAGTGTCTTTCCTGACCTCTCTAAAGTTACATCCTCTTACTGCTCCACTAGCTTTATGTTTCAAGGTTACATACTGAGCTCTTCCTCTAACACCCAACCAAAATAGGTCTCTCTTCATAAATTACTCTTCCATTACACATCACTCAGTTTGTAAAGATATACACACATTTTTTTAAAAAAATTTTATTCCTTTGCTTATTTATTCTCTGCCTATAGCATCAATGAGCTCCATAGGTACAGAGACTATGTCCAGATGACTGTTCAATGACATCCTAGCAGTGTCTGGCAGACTGGACACTTGGCAGTGTGTGTTGAATAAACAGACAATAATAGTCTGTTGTCGTGCAACATGAAATTAGTCCCATACTTAGAATGTATTTTCCCCCTTAACAAGTAAGCACCCAACACTGTCACACAGTTAGTAACTCCAGAGGTATTAAGACACTTTACTGATAAAAGCTTCCAACCATTTCAACAGTTTCATTCATTCATTCACCATCTAGCATTAACAGTCAGTTTCAGTCCTATGAGGCCTTTAGGAATCACCTGATTCTCAGCTGGGAGAAAAGTGGGTTAACTGGCTGCTCCAGGTTACAGAGTTTATGAAAACGCTGTCATGTGAATACGAGTCTGATTAAGTGTAATTTTTTTTTAATCTGTCTGGTATATCTTCTCTGAAGCAACAAGAATGGACACATAAAACCATCACCATCTAAAGAGATTTTGCTTGTTCAATTTGTGTATTTTTAATGAAATGCAACAACCTTCTCCAGGATCAAAATCACCCTGCCTCTTACTTTAAAACTAAGCAAGCTTTTACAACCGAACATCAGAAATCTAAGTAGTTCATTTATAAAAACAGCAACGATTCCAATAATTAGTAAACTTGCTATATCATCAAAAGCAGTAGTCTTCTGAATACGGAACTTCAGTAGTAAGAAATTTTATTTTGGGAATAACAGTGGGCCCCTTTCCGCTCTCCAACCCCGCCCCCAAAAGAAGAAACTAGAAAATAGCGCTGGTTGAAGAAACAACCGTTTCACGTGGTTTTAGGTACAAGTCCCTCAAATATTCGGAAAAGTCAGACTTCCTCTAAGTAAAGGGATTTCCTTGATCTTGAGCCACAGTACACTCTTGCACATAGACAACACACACACATACAAACCTCTGGAAACCAAGCACACCAGAAAGGCCGTTCTTCAGCCAACAAGTGCAAACTTCTCTGGGTTTGAGCAAGCACTTTCGGCCCAGAGCGACAATGCCCCTCCGACCTCGCGTGAGGCCACCTTCTACCCTGCGGAGTCCCGGGCAGTGCACCGCATCCGCGGCTGTCGGCGCCGAGGCCGAGCGGCTCACCGCGAGCCTCGCAGCCGCCCTGACGAAGCCCTTGCAGGCCAGCCGCCCCACCGCCGCCCGGCTCGCCCCCCGCCGGCGACCCCTCGGCTACCTTTCCGCCGGAAGAAGGACATGGCGGGGCCCGGGTCGGGGCGGAGGGCGCGGGGGGACTGTCGCGGGGAGGGCCCGGCTCCCCTCATTCAGCAGCTGGCTGGGACTTCCGGGTCCGCAGGAGCCGCCGCACTAGCCAGAAAACAGCCCCTTCTTCCGGGTGTGGGCGCTGCCGCTTCCTCGGGATGCCCGGGCAGCTGCTGCCGCCATGTTATCAACAAGCCACCCGCCCGGAGTTCCGGTCCTTCCGCGCGCGGGGCTTCACGGGAGGCCCCGGCCCCGCCCCCTCCCCGGCGCACCTCCTCCCGCGGGGCCGGGGCGCGCGCCCGCCGCGCCCACGTGACCCGGCGTCCTTGCGTCCCGGAACCCTTCCCGCGGGTGGCTCCGGGTGGTGGTGGTGTCTCTTCGCTGAGCCTTTTTTGCAGAGACGGAGCGCCGCCTTTTCGCTGAGTTTTGCTAAATGGCAGGGACTGACTGGCAGCTTTACCCTGCCAGGTCTCCCAGACACCCCGGAGAGCCAGCAGGACGAGGAATCGAGAGCAGCTATCTTTTCTTACGGGGTTCCTGAGGCTCCGTCCCTCAAAGTGACCTCGGGAAGGAAGGAGAAAGAGTAGTAGGCTTATTTTCAGACTGAGATCCCTACAGATGCTCACAACGGGAAGGGCCAGCAACCTAAAAACCTAGACAGTGAACCATTTTTTTTCCGTTCTTATTCGAATGCTAACTCCCTATGAATCTTTTGGCCTCCTTCAATCCTTAAAGCCTCCCCACTTTAGTGCCCTGGGTGGATGGTCACTATAGCTCCTGCCAGAAAGGAACCAGGAACTCATGACGCACATTTTCGCTTTTTTTTATGTTGCATCAGTGAAGTCTACTTGAGGCAAAAGGAGAAACAAGTTCAGAAGATGCAATTTGCCTGATTCTTCGGTGTGTAAAACAGGAACTAAAGCCTGGAGTCTTTACCGTATTATTAAAGCTAATTAATACAATGGCCGGTTTTGGTTTCTGCCCGTTTGCTAAGACATGAAATACCACCAGAGCTAAATTCTTAAAAACACACCGTGCATAGATACTGTACTAAACCCTCCAGGTTAGTAACAGTCATTAAGCTTGTTCTTGGTATGGAGGAAACCGGGCACATTCCATCCTCGCAAGGTCACAGCTAGCTAGAAGTGAAACCCAGGTTTCAAGGTCAAAACTCTTCCAGGTAAAAAGAACATTTCTAGGAATGCTGAGCAGGAGCAGGAAAGAAGAGCAGAGGGTGTGACTGTCCTTAGTGAGGTAACGGTGGGAAGAGTTAGCTGTGCGAAGATTGGAGGCTCACTTGGGAGTTAACGTTGCACTTTGAATGTACCTTCAACCCCATGCAGATCCACCTCTCACCCTTGTGCGTCCTTCGTGCCTAATACTGTTAAGACGAGGTGTCGTGGCCGAAGCCTTTAATGCCAGGATTTGGAAGGCAGAAGCAGGTGGATTTCCTGAGTCTGAGGCCAGCTTGATTTACTTGGGGAATTTCAGGCCAACCAGGGATATGTAGTAGATCTTGTTTCAAAAGGATAAAAACAAAACAAGGTGTTGAAGGCATGGCTTAGCAACTAGGAGCATAAACAATACTTGCAGAGGGTCACAGTTAGAGCACCACTTAGAGCATTCTCTGAGAATGTGTAGTGCTTCTCTTATTCCTCTCCCTTCTGGAGTTCCAATCTTGGCCGGGACTGTTTTGTATTTGTTGTCTGGTTGGTTGGTTGACCAGGGCAGGAGGCCCACCGGAGGGGTGAGTGAAAAATCCCTTGAATGAACGAAATGCCAAAGGAGTTGAGGAAAGGGCTCCGGTTCCATTACATCTTCTTGAACCCTTACTCATTCTCTCTGGCTGAACATAGATCAGTGTTGAGGGAATGTTTCCAGTAAAATTGATCCTTCGAAGTCCCTCCTACCAGAAATTCTGGAGTTGCCTTTATACTCTGTAAGAAAAAGATTATTCTGGTCCATTTTCAGTGTGAGAGGCACCTAGAGTTCATCAGAGCTACAGATAAGCAGGACACAACAGGCCCACTAGCTGGTGGCTGGTGGTGGCTTGTCACAGAACTCTTAAGAAAGTTACAGGTAGTCTATACTGCCTTACTGAGCCCATGGTCACAAACAGGGGGGAGAGGGCAGGGCTGTCTCAAGCCCCAAACTATTCTTTAGATAAGGCTTTGTGTCCTAAACTAAGAAAATGGGGAATTTGGGAAAGGGGCAAGTTCCAGCCAATGGAGACGAAGACAGGAATTTCTCCAGATTGGGGTACCTTAAAAACCAGTGTCAGCCGGGCGTTGGTGGCGCACGCCTTTAATCCCAGCACTCGGGAGGCAGAGCCAGGCGGATCTCTGTGAGTTCGAGGCCAGCCTGGGCTACCAACTGAGTCCCAGGAAAGGCGCAAAGCTACACAGAGAAACCCTGTCTCGTAAAACCAAAAAAAAAAAAAAAACCAGTGTCTTGTACCAAAGCATTGCACCAGCAATTTTTGCCTTTTCTTTGGTGGCATCCCTTTCGGCCAAATTGTCTATTAAAAACTGCTTCATTGTATTAGTCTCTTGAATAAATTATTATATTATTTACAGCATCTCTCAGACAGCTAAAGATACAGCAGTCAGCTAATCATAATCATCATTTACTAAGTACTTATGATGTGGTCTCTATGTGCCTACCACTTTACAATCAAGACCTCACTTATCCTTTACACACACATCCCACCACCCTACCACTACTACCCCACAGGAGACCCTGCCATTACTGCCTCCTATTTATAGATGATGGTCTGGAGTTCTTTGTAATGACCTAGGATCACAAAGGTAATAAGAGGCAGAGACAAGATTTCAATTGATGTACCAGTAAGGAAGGGAAGGAAAGGAAGGAAGCAAGGAAGGAAGGAAGGTAGGTTAACCCTGAAGTATAAATTCTTTAAGGCCAAGTGACTAACTTCAAGATTTTGGCGCAGTTAAGATGTTGCATACAAGAACCAAAATATGAAGCTGAGTGGTGACGGTGCATGCCTTTAATCCCAGCACTCGGGAGGCAGAGCCAGGTGCATCTCTGTGAGTTCGAGGCCAGCCTGGTCTACAGAGCGAGATCCAGGACAGGCACCTACTCAACAAAACAAAACAAAACAAAAACAACAACGAAACCAAAACCAAAATATCTTGAGCTATTTTTAGTCCCTTTGAAAACCAGCCATTGCCCATCTCTGTGTCTTATTTAACAACCTATAACTATCAAAACCTTGAAATGTATTCTTAACAGACTACCAGCTTTCATCAATCAAAAGCTAAGAATGTCATCAGGTAGAATCTCAAACCTGAAGCAGAGCTTTCCTGCTTTGCTGTTACCCACCTACAGGTAGATTTACAACTTTGTTTTGTAACTAATAAAAGCCTCATGTAACTGCTACAATGGACCATTGTATTTGGAAGAAACCAGAATCTGTATTCCTAGGCCATGATCAGTTGAATTTGGCTCCAGAATAAACTCTTTCTTACTCCTTTTGAAGTGAAAACTGTGTTTGGGGGCTGACACTTTCCACCTCTAGCTAATACTCCTGTATCTGGTATTCAAGAACAGATGCCTTTTGATGGAGCACAGAGGATGAGCAATACTTAGCAGCCCAGATGCTGCAGGTGCTTTCTGAGTCATATCCATTGTTACAGTTTAGATCTGAACTGCCTACCCAAAGGCTCTTGTTTGAAGGCTTGGTCATCAGCCTGTGGTGTTACTGAGAAGTGGAGGAAACTTTAAGAGAGGCTGCACTAGCCCTTTGGGAGCAGGACCTTGAAGGGAATCATGGAACGTCAACCCTTCCTATCCTTTGAGACAGACCTAGGGGTCTCCTCCCCCAAAGAATATGTGGCTAGAGCTTTGCACTCAGACCTCTATTAGCATTTAACACTGTTAAGTACTATTGAGAATGGTAATCCTATAATTGGTTTTTTATCATAATCACACTTGGTTACGCATTTATTGTTTGTTTATTTATTTAAGCTAAACTGGTAGGATTGTTAAGAATTTAGTCTCTTGAGTGACAGTTGACAGACACCTCACTCACCTCACCCCCCCACTACCTCCCCCCACCCCCCACCCCCCCACACCCACCCCGGCCAACACCTGGCTGCTTTGAGTTGTCAGCCAAGCTGCCCCTCTTTTGACAGCCAGCAGGGGGCAGTCTGGCTGTTCTGAGCACTCCACGATCACTTGGAAAGTATTACTCCAGCCGCGAGGACCACACAATCATGACTGTTGGAGAAGCTGTGACTTCTGCTTCAGGAAGTCTTGCTCTAGTTATGACCACTCTAGGCAACTTGCACCTGCTTTGGGCGACTCCACTCTGGGTAAGATAAGCTTATGTGAACTGTAGACCCCAGCTTCTTAAAATGTGACCCATATGGGGTCACTTAACAATGTGGGGGGCTATAGCAAAAGGTTTCTGAATGTATAATGATTAAAAATTTACAACGGGGGGGGGGGCAGGAGCAATGGCCATCAGTTTAAAGCATTGCTGTGTAATCGTGAGACGTGAAGTTTGGGTGCCAGAAGCTAAATAACAAGTTGAGTGTCCTGTGCACACCTGTGACCCCAGCTCTGAGATAGGCAGAGGCAGGAGGATTGCTGGGGCTTGCTTGCTTCCAGATTCAGGAAGAGGCCCTGTCTCAAAAGAATAGGCAGACAATGGTAGAGGAGGACACCTGATGCCCTACTCTGGCCTCTGTGCGCGCGCGCGCACACACACACACACACACACACACACACACACACAGGTCCACATATAAATGAACAAACAAATCAGTTAAAAATAAAATTTAAAAAATCAAAGGTGTGATAAGTCCCCAAGATAGTTCAGTCAACACTTGCCTTGATGTATCATACAACTTTTATGCAGCCTTGCTTTTGAACACACAACACGGTGCACTTGGGACTGTCCCTTCATAGAACACCAGCAAATGATGCCTGAAAAACCTTAGATCAGAGTTGAGACTACTGTATATTGTGAATTGCTGTTCTTCATCGTACTTATCAAGTTTCCTGATGCTATAGAAACACAATGCTTTCACTGTGGAAAACAAAACATTCAATATTTCCTACCACCATTCCTCAGCATAGAAGCATCAAATTAGTGTGTCCTTGGATTGCGCTGTGTTAGAATGTTTGGTTTTTAAATTTTCTGTTTGATTTTTCTCGATTGGGTTTCATTAAAAGTTGTTAAACTTTGCTTGGGATAA